GGGGGGGGGGGGGGGGGGGGGGGGGGGGGGGGGGGGAGGGCAGGGGAAGGGAAGAGGAGAGATGGGGGAGGATAGATCCCAGGGATTAAAGCTAGACAAAGCACTAAAAAGTGTCCCCAAAAATGTTGTGGAAAGGGAAGGATTTGAGGTGCCACTTTCTCTCTATCCTGGGACATGAAGTTCAGATTTTCTCTCAGGCATTCAGGAGACATTTGGGAAAAAGCTATTAGGTTGGTAATCAATGTATTTGTTTATGCTTATCTTGCCCCATATTGCCCCTTCTTATAGAGCATGAAAGTCCCAAGGCAGATAATATGATCATAGACTTAGAACTGAAGGTCTATTAGAGACCATTGAGTCCCACCACCTCAATATACAGATGAGGAAAGCAAGACTGAGAGAGATTAAATGACTTGCCTAAGGTCATACAGCCAGTAAGCACATGAGGCAGGATTCAAGCTCTAGTTTCCTGACTCCAAATCCAATGTTCTGTCCTCTTCACCCCATAACAATGAGTCATGCTAGCTCAGAGTTTCCTCTCCCTTACTGTTTGTTCTGTTTTTCATAAACCTGAGGAAGAATACAGCTCCTGCCTTTAGGGTCTTGTCCTCTGGCTTCCAAGGAAAGACCTCCTAGATAGCTCAGAGTGGGTTAGTGAGAAGAAGGGATCTTTAAGGAGATCATTAGAAGCATAAATGGGTAAAGCTTTAAAAGACCATGAAAAGGAAGATGCATGACCCCTGGAATCCTAGAGTCTGGCTTTGGTATTAACAAACTATGGAGAGGAAGCTAAGGGAAGAGTGAGAGAAGGAAACAAGGGAATGCAGAAACAATTTTCAGAGAGGTTTGGTAAACTGGCTGGGTTGAGGAAAGAAGATGAGGAGATCTGGTAAGGAATAGGGGCAGAAATGTGAAATAAAAACATGAAAGGGATATAGCTTAAAATGTGGTGTTGAATTATGCCATGGATCTATTTCATCTGATTTTCTCAATTTATTCTCCATTATTTTCTGTTTTCTCAGAACATCTTCCCCTATTGCCTCCTCTTTCTGGCCCCATTTCATCCTGTAATCTCTAGTAGTGATCCCTTTGGTACTGAGCAGAAACATGACAAATGATTTCTTTAACAATGGTTGGTACATGCTCTATTTTTCTTAATGCCCATGAGCTACACAAATGATTGAATGATAAGCCTCTGAGATGCTGGTGGTGAGAGGCATTGCAAGGAAGGAAGAGGTGAGGAAGGAGTTAATCAGCCTGAGTAGATCTTCACTTGATCTTCACCAAAAAAGTTAAGAAACTATGAATTTTATCTGCTGGTTGTATTATCAAAGATTTTCTAACCTGAAGCCAAAAGTTCAGGTTCCTATTCCTAAAAGGTTCTTCTTTGGTAGTTAGTGAAAAAAGATGAAGTATGGGATTTTTTTTTCCAAAGGAACAAGTTGTATCTACCCTTACCCAATAAAAAGTGAGAAAATTACCACCAGGGGAGTCTAATGACTTCAAAAAGACAAATCAAACTTAATATTTTACCTCTTTTCTAGGTTTACTTTGCTCCACAACATAGAACTCTGCGTGAGTCTACTTGGGCTTCTTAACTAATGACAATAATAATGATAATAAGAAGAGCTAGCAATAATAAATTGTTTTAGAAAAATTGGCTTATTTTCACAACAACCCTGGGAGGAAGGTGCTATTTTTATCCCCACTTTATAGACTGAAAAAAAACTGAGGCAAACAGAGGCTAAGTGACTTGCCTGGGGCCACAGGTCTAGTTAAATATTTGAGGTCACATTTGAACCCAAGTCTTCCAGATACCAGGTCCAGCACTTGATCCATTGTGCCATGTTAGCTGTCAGATGAGCTCTAATCTATGAGACTTTGTAATAGTTCTGGGATCTGTGCACTTCTGATAGGAATGCATAGCCTGAACTTCTGGCTTCTTATATCCTACTCTTTTCACAGCTCAGACTGGTGGCCTGTAATCTTTCAGTGATCCCAAAGTGGGTTAATCAGGGCTATAAGTTCTTAACCCAGGTTTGAGCCTATTGGCTTATCTCTAATTAGGAATTTCACTAGACTGCTATTGGAATCAGTGACAATTAACCCACTGGGAGGTTCTGCAGGTTCAGAGACTGAACTGCAGGCTCCTCTTTGGCCTGAGCCTGGGCTAGAGGCTAGAACTGAGTTTCAATTCTGTTTGTGGAATCACAACCACACCACTACTGATTGCTTCTGAGCTTGTTCCTTGCTCAGTATACAGGTAGGACTCACTAGGGAACACTTCTACTACCTCTATTTACAGACCCACCTCTTGACTCTGACCTGACTGGAAACTGGGTAGTGGGTAACTGAGTTGCCAGAAGGCACCCATCCCTGGATCCTACACTAGTTCAAGGATCCTCTGGGTTCTCTTCCTGCCCAGGTGCTTCCTGTCTTGGTGCCCATTCTGGGCTATCTTTTAGGCACTGCTCTTGGCCAGACTCAGTCCCCAATGTCTGAAGATTGTCTGTCTCCCTGAATATCCCTGGGCTGAAAAGATGTCTCTCTGTGACTTTTTCTTGATTTTTTTCAATCAGAATTCAGTGTAGTGCATTTTCTAGACCTTTGAGGAGGAAGCTTACTGGATGAACTAGGCTATATTCTTTCTTCTTCTCCATTATCTTGACTCCACCTCTCTGACTCTGATCTATGAAAATAATACTAAGAATGTTTGGTTTGAAAAATGGAGATTGCGATCTGGGTTGTACAGCATTGTATGGGGGAAAAGAACTGAGTTTGGAGTCAAAGGACCTCAATTTTTATCCTGACACTACAACATTACCTCCATATGCTATTGTGAAAGTCACTTGTACTCTCTGACCCTCAGTTTCTTCTTAAATAAGGTTGTTGGGCTACATACAGCACTCAAGAATAAGGAAATGATAGTCTCATTGTATTCTGAGCTGGTCAGGCCATATTTAGCATATTTGGTTCTAGATGTTCCATTTTAGGAAAAACCTTGATAAGCTGGAGAGTGTCCAGAGGAGGGCACCTAGAATGGTGAAGGGTGTCTCTAATTCATACCATATCAAGATTAGTTGAAGCACCTGCAGATGTTTTGTTGGAGAAGAAATGCCTTGCAGAAAAAAGACTTAATAGATGTGTTCAAGTTTTTGAAGAACTCTTATCATAGAAGAGGGATTCATCTTTTTGTTGTAGCCCCAGAAGCCAAACTATGAACACTCAGAGGTAATGGAAGTTGCCGGGTAAAAACTTATTTACAAACTGTAAAAATACAGAAAAATAGAATGGGTTACCTCAAGAGGTAGTGGATTTCCCCTACATTGGAGGTCTTCAAGCAACAACTATATGACCATTTACCACTTAAATGAGATTCTTTTTCAGGTGTGAATTAGGTTCAGTGGCCATTGAAATCCCTTCAACACTGAAATTTGTGATTCTATGTTTTGAATTATCTCTAAAGGTCCCTTCTAAATGTGAACCAATGTGTTTATGATTCCTGAGGATCCCACTAATATTGTTATGCCAAATCAGTTGCTTTAGGGATTTCAAGATATTTAGTAAATGCCCTTCTTCAATACCCATTGTCCTTCAAGGCCTCAAAGTTTAAGGCTGTACTATTTTTTATGAAGAAAGGCAACCTTCTATTCTCCCTGTTGAATATGCATTGTTGTCTCCCTCCCTGCCACTGAAAACCAGAATTAAGTTTCTGGTTAAAAGTGGATCCTTCAACTGACACACACAGTAACTAAGATTCCTGGAATTACATATGGAGTTTCTATTTGGTGGATTCCACATGCTTTCCTTTGGACACTAACAAAGGACAGGAAAAGTCTAGGAACAAGGCTATATATATATATATGTTCCAGAAGTAGAATGACCTATGACCTTCTTCAAAAGAAAAATCTTCCCTTAGTAAATTCTCTTTCTTCCTGATTAACTCCTGTCAAGATAATATAGTCTGGGTATCTTGACCTGAAGCCTTCCTCCAGTATTCATGGAGACATCATTGTGTTTACTTAGCTTCCCTTGTCAACTCAATGTGCGAGTAGGAAAGGAAGCTAGTTCATGCTTGTTCAATATTAGGATAAGCTCAACTCCAGCCTCAGAATGAAATGCCTTCCTTTTGTCAGGATTCATTATTCCAGAAATTATTGTTATTTTTTAATAGGAATAGAGAAGTATATTGCACTTCAGCCTATCAATGAGAAATATTCAGACTAGATCAGGAATTCTTAACATTTTATGTGTCATAGATCCAGTTGGAAGTCTAATATAAACTATGGACCCCTTCTCAGAATAATATTTTAAGTGCATAAAATAAGGATATAAATACATATAGGATTACAAAGGAAAATAATTATATTGAAATATAGTTACCAAAATATTGTTTGTTTGTTTGTTTGTTTGTTTGTTTGTTTGTTTTAAGAAGTCCATAGAACTCTTGGATTAGGTGATCTTAAAATTCCATTCCAGGTCTAAAATTCTAAATCATTAAATATCCAATCAATCCTGACCAGGATAACACCTCTGAGGATGGCAAGCACTGACACCTATCAGTATTTTGGCTTCTACCCAGCTAATATCTTCAGCAGCAGTTTTGACAGCTTTTTGGATCCTCACTTTGTTCTCAGGGAACATTGCACATAATTAGTACTAGTCAGAAAGTTTAAGAAAAAAAAAACTGAACTGACCCAGGAAGATAGACTACAAGTCTCCCCCAGGACAGTAGTTCTTAATCCTTTGGGCATTGTGACACTGCTAAATATTTATTTGTGTATTCATACTGTGTCCCTTGTGTGAGATTTTGATTTCATGTCCAGATCTCAGCAATCAGGGATGGGGAACATAAGACATATATCTGGTAGGTATTTAATAGAAATGTCCTTTACCCATTTTCTAAGGGTTTATATTTCTCCCTATTTGTGCCTTGGATACAGAGTGGAAAGTTTCACAGTATCTTATCCTTCAAATTGAGCCCATGAACTTTGTCTTGGGAGTAGTGCTTTAGTTGTTGTATTAATATCCTTTTTCTTTAATACATGTACATGTCCAGATATAGCATCCACCTCAGTACCACTGCTTGCACTCTATACTCCATTATAACAAAGGAAAACAGTTCAGTACAGTAATTAATCTGAAAACATATGCAACTCTCTGCCCTGTGCTGTCTCCCATCTCTCTACCAAGTATAGGGATTTCATGATATCAATTATTTCATATTTTCAATTACTCAGTATTTTCAATATTTCATTATCTGTCCTACAGGACTGAGTCATTATATCAATCATTATAATATCCCAGATTTCATTTTATTTTTAATATTCTTTTCACTTATATCTCTATAATTATTGTATGTATTGTTTTCCTGGTTCTGCTTACATCAGCCTCAATTCATCCAAATCTTGCTATGTTTCTCTGAATTACTGTCATAATTTATATGTTAAAATGTTTTATTTTAATTATTGTGGTTTGTTCAGTCATTCTTCAGTTGATAGACACCCATTTGCTTCCAATTCTTGGTTATCATAAGAAGCATGACTATGAAAAATTGTTATTTATGGACCCTTTTTTTCTGCCTTTGAACTTCTTAAAGCAAATGCTCAGAATGAGAGCTGCTAAATAAAAAGAAAGACCTTTGTATTTGCTATTTATTTTAAATATTTTATCTTATTTTTACTGATAGATTTTGCTTTTATGCATTATTAATTTATTAATTTTCCATTCCCTACCCAGGTGTTTATCTTTTGTAACAAAGAGGGAGGGCAGGAGAAATGGGTAGGAAGCCATTAGCAAAATGAACTAACATATTGGCCACACCCACAGTATATGTGACATTTTGCACCTATTGTTCCCCCAATTCTTCAACGAAGTGGGGAAGACCTTTTGCTGTTTCTTTTACTTCGTTTTGTTTTGTTCTAGAGTCACACTAACTGTATTTTAAATACCTCTCAAATAACATTGATTCCATCAAAACAGAACCTTGGAAGATCACCTTCTTGATGTATTGTGTCTGGCCATTAACATTAGCATGAAGGTCTCACTGTGAATTTTACTATGATTGGAACTGAATTGTATAAATGCTAGGATTGCTTTTTCACTGAGAAATATTGGTGACTAGTGTTGCAGAGTAACTTTATCTCTGAAGGTTCTGAGTTCCATATCTCCTCTCATTCACCACACTTCACGCTTCATGATGTTTCCTACCCCTTAAACAATGACTTGCTCACAGATGCTCAATAAATATTTGCTGAATTAATGAAAGCAGGAAACAACCTTCACTTAACTGGAAGCTTCCCAACACTAGGTTTTCTCAAAGCCTATTAAAATCACACCATATCCCCAGAGTCTTTTCTAATTGAATATAAGTCCTGGGAATTTTACTTTACTTCCTATCCACTAATACAGCCACAATTATACAATGTAAATGTTAAATAATTTAATTATTCTATTCCTTTAGCGTTTAAAGCTAATTCTTTCCCATCTGAAATTTTCCTTTACTACTCATTCTCCTTTTCTTCCAATCCACTGACCTTTTCCATTTAGGTTTTCATTAAGAAGGGGGAGTTTTGGGGTTTTTTTTTTTTTCCTGCAAGAGTTTTCCATGACTCTCTTTAAACTGCTTAACTAAGAACTACAAGAAAGCCCTTGGTTACTGGGAGTAGGGGGAGGGTGTCATTATGAAGAAGTAGGAATGCAATCATGTTTGCCTAAAATTTCTAATTATGTGTTTTTACTTTAACCTCCTGGTAATTTTTTATATATTCTGTTTGTTTTGTTTCTGATGCATGCCAATAGAACCTTGATTTCTTCATCCCGAGAAAGCAGATAGCATGCTACGTCTGCAAAATTCTTGGTAAGATAAATTTGACATTCTTAATTATGGTATTTATTCTTATTCACCCATAAGCGTTTTGATGTGGTTTTCCATTGTATTGATGTATTGATGAAGTGGGTGTGCTCCATCATCAGAGAATGTCTTGAGTATCTGCAAAAGGTTACGTACTTCAAAGTTTTGCTTCCTAGGCCTAGGAAAAAAAAAGTAAACTCAGAATGAGCTCTACCTCAGTCCATCTTAAAACACATGGGCATAAAACTCTAACGACTTACAAATATTTGGGAGCTGATTGGAGAGCTATTAACATTAATCTATTTTATGTCATTACTTCCTAGAAAAGTGTAATGAATTCAATTTTATTGCATACATGGCACTCCGCTGCTTTCCTTGCTCCCTGGACGTTGGCACAAACTGTGTTTGTTGAGAGGGAAAGAACAAACGATAACTCTGTTGACAGATTCCCTAAGGAATAACTCCCTTTACTTCAAAGTATCCATAGATGATACTGTATTTTAGGAGCCATAGATACGGCTAAAACACATTCCTATGGTTTTTTGAGAGTTTTAACCTTCCCATCAAGAATAAATAAAACATGTTATTCCAGCTTGACAAAGGTTTGTTAAATCAAAGTTAGTTAATACTTTCATATTAAAATTATAAGATGATTTTAGGGTGTGAAGAGATGTATCAAAGCTCTTAACTATTCCACTGTAATAACTGACTTTTCCTCTCTCATTTGCCTGTATTTAACACTTCAATTCTGATCAAACTCTACAAATAGCCAAGACTAATTATACACCTTTTAATTAAAAAAAAAAATTCTCAGGAGTATGTATCCTTACACATCCCTGAATAAAGTTTCCAATCAGTAACCAATTTAACCATCTGAAAAGAGATTCTCATATTATTCCTGTATTCATGCTGAGAAATAATAGTTAAAACTATAAATTTGTGCTGTTTTATTTTTATGGATATGTTTTATTTATATATATACAATATATACATATTTTTGGATGGGTAAGGCAATCGGGATTAAGTGACTTGCCCAGGGTCACACAGCTAGTAAGTGCCAAGTGTCTGAGGCCAGATTTGAACTCAGGTCCTCCCAACTCAAAGGCCAGAGTTCTATCCATTGCGCAACCTAGCTGCCCCTGATTATTTTATTTTTAAATTACTTTCATCTCCAAATATATCTCTCCTCTTCCCCTCTCCAGAGAGGTATCACTTACAAGTAAGAAAAAAAAATAAGTGATAGAAAAAGAGATTCAACATAACTAACGTGTAAAATGAATCTGATAGTATGTGGTGCTTCTTTTTTTTTTTACATCCATAGGTTTGTTTTTTTTTTAACATCTACAGTTTTTTTTTGTTTTGTTTTGTTTTTTGTTTGTTTGGTTTTTTTTTTCCACATCCCACATTTGTAAAGAAAGAAGTGGGAGATACATTTTAACATCACCCCTGTTAAGGCCAAGCTTGGTCATTATAATTTCAAGGCATCCATTTTTGTGTGGTGTTTTTGTTTTGGTTCTTTCTAATGACATGGTTGTACTAATTGTGTCTATCTTTTTCTTGGTTATGCTTACTTCATTTGTTTCAGTTCATGTAAGTTTTACACTTTGTTTAGTATATACACACACATAAAACATCTATGAAATTGCACATTTGGAATGGTATTCAGAGTACAGGAGGACTGACTAGCATCTGAACAGGGCTCACTTCTACAACATTCCTGAAAAGTGAATCTCCCAGCCTTCAATAGATTTCTAAGGAGGAGAGGGAATCCACTACCTCCTGAAATGGCCCAGTCTATATTTTGATACCTAAAATTATTAAAAATTTATAATTTTCTCACCCTTATATTGAGCCTATCTACTTCTATGCAAAGTCTGTTACTTATAGTTTTGCCCTCAGAAGCCAAACAAAACTAATTTTATCCATTTTCCACAAATTATCTTACAAAATATTTGAGTTCAGCTATAGTGTTCCCTCAAAATCTCATATTCTCTAATCTAAATGTTCTCATTTCCTTTAACCTAGCCATATACAACCTGTTCTCTAGTCTCCATCTTGGTCATTCTCATATGAATGCACTCTGATTTGTCGATGTCCTTCCTAAAATGTGTTGCCCCAAACTATATATATATATATGTTCATTTTGTCCAAGAGATAAGTTCAACTTTTTCTATATCCTGAAGTTACCAGTTACACACACACACACACACACACACACACACACATACACACACACACTTTTTTAGGGAAATGGAGTCCCTACAGAAAGTGGGATTTTTCAATGATATACTTGTAAATACTGAACGGCCAGCTCCCCTCCCCCCCCCCCAAAAAAACATTTTGAAGTGTAATCTGCATTATTAACATTTTCTCCATTACTTTCTTAAGTCAACAAATGAGCAGAACTATAAATCAAGCCTCAATTTTTAGTATTTGTTAATTTTGAAAATGTAAGTGTTCATACTCACTATTTAAAAATTGGTTTTTAGAGCTGGAATGAGCTCATCCCTGGGTTATATTTTCTTTATCTTGTATTTCAGGACCTCTCTGTCCATTACACTGCTAACATTTCTGATTTTGAAACCATCAAAATCAAACTGTTTAGCTGACTTCAAGCCAAATATTGTTCTATTACTAGCAGATGATCTTGGTATTGGAGACATAGGCTGCTATGGTAACAATACAATAAGGTAAGTAACAAAGAATTAACTCTCTGCTTCACTTTATATATACACAATGTACCAGAAAGATGAAGGAATGGTTAGACAGTGAACCCGACAATTCAAGCTGCACAGATAAACATTTCAAAGACAAGTTATAATAAATTTTTAAAAAAAATGCATCTCTCAAAAGCATTTAGACAAGTCTTTAATCAAATTGAGATCTACACTGATAAAGGGAAGGCCTAAGTTTACTAATCTATTAAAAATTTTTAATAAATATTTGAGTTGAATTAATATTTTTTGATTGGGAATATGCTATAGGAAATTGCAGTGCTTCAGAGTTCTGTCATTATCAATGACTTAAATTGTTATGTGAATATATAAAATGCTGGTTAAGAGGTCTCTGGTAAATAAGATGCTTTTATTATATACAAATATTTTAAAATATAACAAATTCGATAGTTTTTTTTTACTGTGCAAATGTATATAATTTACATTTCATTTTAAAATTAAACTATATCATTTTTTTTCTTATTAGGACACCAAATATTGACAGTCTTGCAAATGAAGGGGTGAAACTTACTCAGCACATAGCAGCAGCTTCTGTTTGTACCCCCAGTAGAGCTGCTTTCTTAACTGGAAGATACCCTATTCGATCAGGTTAGAAACTTTCTTAGATTATCACAGCATCTATGCTTTCCATTTATCTTTTTTTATATATTATTTAAAATTTTCATCAAAGAACTAGTTTCTTGAATATTTAGAAATACCAAGATTTTTAAAAGCTGTGATCAAAATACACTTCTTATACCCTGATATAAAACTGACTGTGTAATAGAATTTTTCCAATGTTCACTTACTTTTCAGGTTTCAATTCCTTTCAGAATTCATGTTTTTTATTAGATTTTTTAAATTCAGTCATTTCAAAATAATCTTACCAGAAAAACCATTTTTATTTTTGACATGCCTATAATTACTATCCAAAATTTATATCCATTAGTCTTAAATTCCTTCCATTCTTTGACAAACAGTAGCATTGGGGTGGAATAATTAAAATAACTGTGAATTTGGCATCAGAAAACTGAGGTTTGCTTCACAGCTCTGGTAGTTACTAATGGTATGATCTTGGGCTAATCACTTAAGCTCTCTGAGGCACCATTTCCTTATATGTAAAATAAGTAGGTTGTACTGAATAAACTCTAAGACCCCCTCCAGCTCTAAATCCTAATATGTCTCAACTGCAATTTAATGTATTGCTTCTAGGAATTGTTGATGATTTTGTCTCTGATTCCTAGTAAATACTACATTGTTATTCTCCTACAGGAAGGTGAAGAGACTGTTTAAAGTTTAATAATCTCCTTGAGTGCTTGAGAATGAAAAGGGACTGAGCGTTTCCATTGATTTAATCTAACACAGACAGTATATACAGCTTTTAGCAGCAGGTCACACCAATCTACCAACCCATCACAATGAGAGCAGTTTTCACAAAAATAAATTAGACTCACCAAAAATTCCCATCAATTCTTGTTCTGCAGTGATCATACAAATTTCTCCCTATTCAATTATTCTGGCATCTCCATACTTCTCTATTCCAAGACCCAGAGTATTTCTGCTTTGATATACAATTTTGTGAGCATCAATAAATGTGAGCATCTGGAATTACAATGAGCCTTCTTAGGCTGCCAAGACTTCTAGAGTATCTTTTATGCATTGAAAAATTGACTTAGTTCTTTGAATTTTTTTTCTGACTTAAGAAAGGAATCTTATTTATTTACAAAGATAGAATAGAACCATAACACATGATAGGCTATGCCATAACCATGTTCTCCATCTAAACTGAGTATGGCTGATGAATTTATAGTCTTACAACTTATTTAAGGGTGATAGAGTTGAAAGACTAATGGGGAATAATACAATGTTGGAAGAGGAAAGTACAAACAAGGAAATTAAGGAAGGTCCAGTTAATAGGATGCAGTGATCTAAGTTGTTATTGCAACATTATAGGAAGAACTATAAATTGAGTAGATGTTTTTCATTCATTGTTCCAAAGAGACAACATACTTTCCCATTGAATAAATTTTACCATATTTTCTTCTAGTTGCCCTTTGCACTGATGTCAAACAAAACAACACAACAAATAAGATCGGCCTAGGTTACTGATTCCAACTATGTTAATAAGGTTTTATGCTACAAAATAAATGTTATGACATGAAAGAAATGGAGAGCAGCAATAAATATTTAAAGTGACACATTAGGTGTCACTTTAATTAGGTGAGACACTAGGAAAAAAAAATGAGTCCACTGTGAAACATAGAAGGTCAATCAATCAATAATTATTTATTAAGCTCCTATGTACTAGTCACTATGATAGTTGCTAGATAGACAAAGAAAAAAAGAAACTATTGCTGTTTTCAAGGATACTGCATTCCATCAAATAGTGTACATGAGAAAATAATAAAATTCATTTTTCATATTTAGTTAAATTTTCTCATTTTCTAAGTATTGTCTATATCTATCTTTGGAATCTACACTTACTCTTAGGTCATTCTGACACTTCATAAAAATAATATAGCTTTAGATTGGTAAAGGACCTTTAGGATCATTTAATCTAATAACTAATTTTCCAGCTGAGCAAACTAACTACAGAGAGATGAAGCATTATCCCATCTATGAAGCCCTGCTCAAATATTCCTATCCACACTGTGTTACATCTATTGTTAAATCCTATAACAGTTGTCCTCTCCTAAGATTTCATTGCTAGTTTATTAGAACCAAGGCTATAACACAGGTCTCATGATCTCCACTTTAATCTTAGTTGCCTGAAAGAATCATTGATCTCAAAGTTGTATATTCCAATCAGGAAGTAGTTTAGACACCAAGATAATTTAGCATCAGAGCTCTACATTTGGGATAGACCTCAGAAGTGATCCAAATTTTGTAGATAAGAAACTGAGGCACAAAGAGAACAAATAACTTACCCAAAGGCAAGGGCTAGTAAAAGTCAAACTCAGGTCTTTTGGTAATAGAAATTGGACTCTTTCTGTGGTATGATGCAGCATCTTTTTGGTTTGTTTTACATATAATATCAAGTCAAGTGAAATTTGAACATATGTAAAAAATGTTGGTTTTCTAATTCTTATGCACAATTGATTTACTGACCATATTTTTATTTATGACTTATTTAAAGCATAGCAATATTATCATTTTAAATATGTCAACTATTTTTTTCCTTGTCAAAAACTAAATAGTAGGTTAATCATTAAATCTGATAAGTTTGCAATATTTATCAAGGTTTTATTAGTAATTTATGTGAAATGATAAAAACAAACAAATTACTCTTTTAAAAGTATCATGTTCTTTATAAACCATATTCATCTAAGGCATGGCTTCCTATAATGGCCTTCCTGTTCTTCAATGGACTGGGGTATCTGGAGGGCTCCCTTCCAATGAAACAACTTTTGCAAAGATACTACAAAAAGAAGGCTATGCTACTGGACTAATAGGTATGTAGATTTTTGAAGGCATCCATAATATTACAGTTTAGAAAAAGTCTAACATTTGAAATATAGGGATACAATTTTAAGTGTGAGAATCCTTTTTTTAGTGTTATTTTTCCTTTTGCCTTATTTTGGTCATCATGTATATTACTGTCTGGTTACTTACCTTACTCTGTATCAGTTCATTCAAGTCTTCCCAAGTTTGTATAAATTCTTCATATTTACTTTTTAGAATGTAATAATATTCTATTACTTTTATGTGCTACAATCTAGCCATTTCCCGTTTTGTGGGCACCTACATTATTTCCATTTTTGCTACCACAAAAAAATGCTATTATGAATATTTTGGTATTCATGGAACCTATCTCTCTATTCCTGATCTCCTTAGGGTATATGATTACCAGACTCATCATTGGGTCAAAACGTATATACAGGGCAGCTAGGTGGCACAGTGGATAGAACACCGGCCCTAAAGTCAGGAGGACCTGAGTTCAAATCCGACCTCAGACTAAGCACTTGACACTTACTAGCTGTGTGACCCTGGGCAAGTCACTTAACCCCAATTGCCTAAAAACAAAAAAAAAGTACATACAATTCAATCACTTTTCTAGAACAGTTCCAAATTGTTTTCAAAATGTTTAAACTGGGGCAGGTAGGTGGCGCAGTGGATAGAGCACTGGTCCTGAAGTCAGAAGGACCTGAGTTCAAATCTGGCCTCAGACCAAACACTTGTAACTAACTGTGTGACCCTGGACAAGTCACTTAACCCCAATTGCCTAAAAAACAACAAACAAAAAAATGTTTAAACCAATTTATATTTTCACCAACAATGTTAATAATTTTTTCTGAGTTTCTACTTTGACAAAACTCTGCCTCTTCTCAGAATTTGCTATCTCTCTCTCTCTTTTTTAAATAATGGCAGTATTAAATTCTCTCCCTCCTGCCCCTTTTCAACTCATAGAAAAGTCAAGTGATATGATACCTGTTATACATGTGAAGTTATGAAAAACATATTTCCACTTTAGCCATGTTGCAAAAAGAAAAAAAGCAAGAAAAATAAAGTGAAAAGACTACGCTTCAATCTGCATTCAGAGTTCATCAGTTCTCTCACTGGAGGTGGATAACATAGCAATGTTAATAGTTTATCTGACTTCCTACAGCCGTGGAGGTTCAGTGAAAGAAATAATTTCAGGGATTTTTTTAAACTTAATAAAACAAAAGTTAATTAATGTTCATGAAATAATCTAAGACTCCCCAGATAGGAGATATATGACTTAAAACATTGTCATAATTTCTGGTCTTTCTATTCCTGTCAGATTTTGAAGAATCCAGTGATAACTTCCATTCTTATTAAGGAGTTTGAGTTGAACAAGATGACCACAATTGTAGTGTAAAACAGTAACCATTACAGATATCAGTCATGATAATAGAATCATTTTTAACAATCTAACTTTCAATTTTCAGGAAAATGGCACCTGGGACTCAATTGCAAATCCAGAACTGACCACTGTCATCATCCATTGAACCATGGTTTTGACTTTTTTTATGGAATGCCATTTTCCTTAATGGGTGATTGTGAATATTCAGCACTATCTGAGAAGCGTGCAAAACTTGAGATGAGACTTTACTTTTCAATTCAGATCATAGTCCTGGCTATATTCACATTTACCATTGGTAGGTTCACTGGCATATTGCCAGTTCCATGGAAGATAACCATAGTCATTGCCATCATTGGTTTCCTACTTTTCCTGACACGGCACTTCCTTTTTATCTTGATTAAGTATGGGGACTGTTTTCTGATGCAAAACCACACTATTACTGAACAACCCATGATCTTCAAAAGAACTACCTCCCTTATACTGAAAGAAGCAGTTTCATTTATTGAAAGGTAAGCTATAATAATGGGATAGTGTCTACAATATACCAGTTAGCCAGGTACATGAAAAATAGAGTAGTGCATATAGTCTTAGGAAGTAAATAATTTTTCCACCATGAAAGTGCTTTGGCTATATAGATAGATATAGATATAGATACACACACAGAGAGATATATACATATATATACTTTTATATCTAAAATATATATACTTTTATATATGTATATACTTATATATATTTATATATAGTGTAAATTGGATATAGATTACAATTTGTTGAGCTTTGGCTGAAGCAATTTTTTGCTGACTCTTGAGTCATCCTTCTATGCCATACTATTTCGCTAGAAACAGTGTGGTATGGTCAGCTTATTGCCTGTGTGATATAAGATCCTTTGTTTCTCCGGACTCTTAAAAAAAAAGAAAGGAGGAAGTTGGGCTAGATGAGATTTGACAGCCCTTCAGCTCTAAATCTATGTACCTATGAAACCAAGCTTCCTACCCAAGTTTTAGGTGTTCAAAAAGGAAAACAAGGTTAAAGTATTCCAAAGTCCAAATGGAATAGGAAAGTTCACTGGAAAGGGGTCAAATAGGCATTTAATCATAACACACAATGGAATTTATATTCTTATATTCATGCTGTATGTCCTTGTGCTAAGTCCAGGATGGTGCCAACAAATGTGCACCTTGTGTGCCAACAAGAAACAGTTTTGATTTTTTGTTTTCATTTAGTTTTTTTCAGTAATGTCTGACTCTCTGGTGATGATGATACAGTTTGGGGTTTTCTTGGCAAAGATACTAGAGTGGTTTGCCATTTCCTTCTCCAGCTCATTTTGCACATAAGGAAACCGAGGTAAACAGAGTTAAGTGACTTGCCCAGGGCTATCCACTGTGATACCTAGCTACCCTGTAGAGACAATTTAGTAATAAAGAAATGCCCAGAAAATTGTGGGCTAGAAAATAATAAATAGTTCAACTTCTCTTCTTTGTAGAAATATAATATAGACAATGGATAGAGAGCTGGGTAAAAAGTTTAGAATAAATAGTTCCTTATACTATATAGACTACATAGAGAGGCATTGTGTATAGTATATAAACAGTAAGCCTTGAAGTTAGGAAGACCTTGGTGGCTGTAAGGTGGTAAGACCTGAGTTCAAATTTGGCCTCAGACACTTACTTGCTGTGTGACCCTAGGCAAATCACTTAACCTCTGCCTGCTTCAGTTTCCTCCCCAGCAAAATGGGGATAATTATAGGACCTACCTCCCAGGGTTGTTTTGAAGACAAAATGAGAAAATACTTGTGAAGTGCTTGGCAACCCTTCAATTACCATGTAAATGCTTATTGTTATTGCTGTCTTCTTTGATTGTTGTTGTTGTTGTTCAAGCCCTGACTCAGACATATCCTATCTAAGTGAACCAGCACACACTACTAAACCTCTCAGTACTCTAAGTAACACTCCAAGACTTAGGTGAAGAGAAGGTACTAACATGCATTGGTAGAAATAGTTTTCCTTATCTCAGGTTTCCCTATATCATTGAAACTACAGATCTAGTCCCTATCCCTAAATTCTTTTTTAAAATAAATCTTTTTTTCAATTATCAAGAACTCATTTTTTTCTCCTCTTACTCTTTCCTCCCAGGCAGCTAGCTGGCACTGGGAATAAAACAGCGTCTTCAGTGAGGAAGACCCAAGTTTAAATCCAACCTCAGAAACTTAGTAGCTGTCTAACCTCGGGCAAGTCAATTAACCTCCATTTGCCTCAGTTTCCTCAACTGTAAAATGTGTATAATAATAATATCACTTACCTCTCAGGGTTGATATGAGGATCAAATGAGATAATATTTGTAAAAGCACTTAGCACAGTGCCTGACATGATAGGCATTTAATAAATGCTTATTTCCCTTTCTTCCTTCCCTGTGGGGGCAAAAAAAAGAACAAATCTCTTTTAAGAATAAGCACAGTCAAGCAAAACTGGTTTCCACATTGACGATGTCCAAAAATTTGGGCCTTACTTTGTGCTTATTAATCTATCACCTCTCTGACAGGAGTTGGGCAGAATTCATCAATCAATCTGCAGAATCATGGCTGATAACTATGTTAATCAGAGTCCTGAAGCCCTTCAAATTCTTTCATTTTTGCACTATTAATTTTATAGTATAAATTATACTCTGACACTGTTCATTTCACTTTGTATTAGTACATACAAGTCTTTCCAAGTTCTATTGGAAATATTTCTTTCTTTCTCATAACACAATAATATTCTATTATATTCATGTACATAATTTGTTCAGCCACTTCCCAATTGATGGGTACTCTCTCAGTTACCATTTCTTAGACACCACAAAAAGAACTGCTATAAATATTTTTGTATATTTAGCATCTTTGCCTCTTTAAGAAAAAATCTCCTTGGGCCATAGGCCTAGTAATATTATCACTATATTCTAATACAATAGAAAATGGACATTTAGTTATAAAAGCAAACTTTCAACAGCTTACTATCACTAGCACTTGACACCAACAACTGTAAAATGTTTAATGGTCTAGCTTTTTCTATGGGTCAAGATTTAAGGTATGAAGAAACATTTAAGAAATGGAAATATATGTAAAATTTGAACCAAAGGGTCCAAGTTTCTTCTTCCCTCTAAGATGAAAAGAAAATGCAAGAAAGTGAAATTTTATAATAAAAAAAAGAATTGAAAGCATGAAATGGAGAAAGTAAAAGTCATTCTTACATGTATTCAAAATGTTAGTATGTTTTAGTATTTAAAATATATTTGGCTGGTTCTCATACCTTCACACAAACTGATATGATCAGAGATTTAGTGGAAGAAGGAACCTTTAGAAGCAATCTAATATAACTAACTAATTTTACAGATGAAGAAATTTAAGCCAATAGAGATGTGTTTCTATTTGAGTTTGACTGTACAGATATAAAAAAGGTGATAGGCTCAAGATTTCTACCATGGACAAGTCCTTTAAAGACTCAACTGTAAAATGAGCTGGAGAAGGAAATGGCAAACCTCTCCAGTATCTTTGCCAAGAAAACCCCAAATGGAGTCACAAAGAGTCAAACACAATTGAAAAATGATTGAACAACAACAAAACAACACATATAAAGAACTGGTTTGAACATATCTACATAAATATTAAAATCATCATTTGATATCTTTACTTCTTTAGCCATTTTTACAGTTAAAACATTTGTGTATGTATATATATGCATGTATACACACACACACACACATATATACATATGTATATGAAATATTTTTGATTTTAGGAACAAGCATGGGCCTTTCCTCCTCATTATTTCCTTCTTACATGTACACACACCACTTGTTACTACAGAGAAGTTTCTTCAAAGTAGCAATCATGGATTATATGGGGATAATGTAGAGGAGATGGACTGGATGGTGGGTAAGTAAACATTTGCAAATAGAAATTATTCTTGCTATCTAGTCAATGAATCAATTAGGAAAACAGTATTAAGGATGGAAAGAGTAGATTGATTCAAGTAAAATACAACTACTGAATACTTGATAATGCCAAATGTATAAGTAAACTTTAAAGTTCTGAAACACGTATATATTTAACTTCTCTCTTAGATTATGAAATCCAGATCATTATTATCTTTGTATTATAACTATTTTAACAAATCCATCAAGATCCATAAGAATTTTCATCATATTGTCTTGAACATTTTGAATGCAATATTGAGATGCCTAGTCACCTAATGTGACACTGTGACATTTAAAAAGCTCGAGAGACATGGTTTCTGGGTAATTAATTTAATAATGCTAGCATTTTATTAATGAAAAAAATGGTCATTTGGCCATCTCTCTCAGACCAAAGACAACCATGACAGTGGGCTCCCAGCTTATATGCCCTTGAAAAAGTGAATGTTCCTGAGAGTGGCAATCTGGTTAAGGATTGATGAGAGGTGGACTTCACAAAGAGAAGTGGGCTCACTCCAATGAGGGGCTTGGAGAGTGACATCACATCACTCCTAGACCAAGAGACTATCTCTGCATCCTACCCCCAGCCTTGGGCAACCTAGATAAAGGAACTACCTCCACCCAAACTTGCTTGAGTAGAACACAATGGGCAGGAATTCACCTTAAGATTAGATTCCTGGTATGGTTGGATGGGATCTGACTAAGATTGCAGAGAAAGTTCAGCCTTCAGAGACTAAGTTTTGAAAATGAGGACTTTAGAAAGAGGAGTACTTGTGGATCTCCCCAAATCATTTGTTATTAATATTTCTCTCAACATTGAGTATTGCTTAGAGGTAAAGACTATCTATACCTTCAAGCTAGATGTATTATTTTAAATTCTTTGTGCATGTACAAACATTCTGTTCCTCAGCTATCAACTTCATATCCTATACATCAATGGTAGCAAATTCAAATAGGAATAGATCCCCATGGCTGCATATTCATTTAGAAAACCACAAACTGACATCTCTATTGAATAGTATTTTTATTTATTTTGTTGAACATTTCTCAATTATATTTTAATCAGGTTCTAGCCACACATATACAAGAGATGAGAAGTACTCTGGGAAATCAATATATTCCCTTTTCTTTGTGATTCCAGTGGATACAACTGTGGCTACAATGTGGAGGATGGGGGCACATGTGCTATAGATGCCAAATGGCTCTCTTTTTATTTCATGCTGTGAGATGCATTTTCAAGCCAGTAGAACCCATACCCAACTGACTGCCTGATTATATATATATATGTATATATGTATGTGTGTATTTGTATATATGTATATGTATATATGTATGTATGTATACACATACAACACTTTTAAGTTAATTGTGAACATTTTCTTCATCCCTTTCTTTAGTTTAGACAACAAACTGAGAGAAATGATTATTTCTCTCCTATATACCTTCAAGCACATAGGCTAGCAGGAATTACAACATGTTCCCTGATAAGTAAAAACCAGATTTGTGCAAAGTGATTTGGAGTGGGGAAATAATACCCTGGGAATCAGGAAAATTTCCTAAAGAAGGCGGCATGAGCTAAGCCTTGAAAAAAGCTAGGTACTGCATGAGGAAAGGTTAAAAAAAAAATCCAAATATAGGTGTAGCCAATGCAAAATCAGTTAAGTAAGAGATGATTTGAATGTAGAATAGAAAAGTAATTCATTAAAGCTGAACAACAAAGTGCATGGGGGAGGTAGCATTGTGAAATCAGTCTTGAGTGATGGGCTAGAAGCCATATTGCAAAGGGTATGAAATACTGAACAGAGGAGGGTTTTTTGTTTTTGTTTTCTGTCCCTATTCAACAGAACATAAACAGAACATCTTGAGCAAGACAGTGACATAGTAACACCTCTTCTTTAGGAAATCATTTTGACCTCTATTTGGAAAATTGTTTGGAAAAGGGAAGGACAGAAAGCAGGAAGATCAGTTAGAAAGCTACTGCAATAGTATGAGGCAGGGAAGATGAAGTAATGAATTGGAGTGACTGTGGTATGAGTGCAGAGGAATGGATAGAGATTAGCAATGTTAAGAAGATAGCATCAGGGGCAGCAAAGTGGCACAGTGGATAGAGCACCGGCCCTGGATTCAGGAGGACCTGAGTTTAAATGTGGCCTCAGAAATATAACACTTACTAGCTGTGTGACCCTGGGCAAGTCACTTAACCCTGTTACCTAGACAAAAAAAAAAAAAGAAGGTAACATCAATTTGCTGGATGTAGGGATGAGTTGGAATAAGAGTAGAGGATTACTCCTAGGATAGAAACATGGGATGATGATGTTCTATACAGAAATATGAAAATTAGAAGAGATGGATTTGAGGAGAAAAATAATGAGCTCTGTCTTAGAAATGTAGAAATTTCTGTGGGCTATCTAAGTGGAGATAGTCATCAGGCCCTTGGAATGCAAGACTGAAATTTAGGAGAGTTATAGACTTAGGAGTCACCTAGATAAGAGATGGTAGTTGAATAAATGAAAATTAATTAGATTATCTTAAGACAAAAGAAGGTAGGACCCAAGACTGGGCCCTGGGGCATGTTCATAGATAGTAGGCAAACCTCTAGACTGCAACAATCCAATCATAAACAACTCAGCCCCAACCTTTCTTTCAAACTACTTTAGTAATGATGAAGTCTTAAGAATACTGATGACATTTTCATATATAAGAAATAAAACAGTTTAACCTCAATGAGTACCTTATAATTGGTCTTTAATATTTTCTTTATATTTTTTCTGGATCTTTTATATCAAATTTTCCATTTGAGTTCTGGCCTTTTTGTAACAAATACTTAAAAGTCTTTCAGTCTGTCAAATATCCTTTTTTTTTTTTATTCAGGATACTGAACTTTGCTAGGTAAGTTACTCTTGGTCGCAACCCCAACTCTTTTGATCTTCAAAATATAGTGTTCCAAGACCCGTGGTCTTTTAGTGTAGAAACTGCTAGGTCAGAGAGGTCAGCAAATGGGAATATCGGATAATTTTTTTCTAGGGGTTTATTTTCAAGGAGGTTTTTCTAGGTGAAAGGAAAATAGTTTGAAGGGATGTTAGTTTAAAGCAAAGTGGGTTTTTTTTGTTTGTTTTTTGGGGGGTTTTTTTTTGTCTTTTCTTATTTTTGTTTGTTTTTATTTTTCCTGCTGTTTGTCCTTTGTTCTCAAAGAGGACCATGACGTCAGGGAGGTGACGCCATAACATGCAAAAGGATTTAAGTGAGGGAGGACTTTGCAAAGTCACCAGCATCACTTTCTACTCTGGAGCCAGCTGGGTCAAGAGGCAAGATATAAATCAGGACAAATGGAGATGGCCCAGGATGCAGTGGGGGAGCTTGGCCTTTTCAAGCTAAGGTCTTTAACAAATCTCAGTTTGATTGAGGCAATGCCCATTCAGTGGGTAGATAGGTGGCACAGTGGATAGAGTACCGGGTTTGGAGTCAGGAAGATCTGAGTTCAAATCCAGCCTTGGACACTTACTAGCTGTGTGATCCTGGCTAAATCATTTAACACCTATTTGTTTTTAATGATAGGAGAGGTCTAGGCTTATTTATGAGCAGAAGAGATGGAACCATTAAATAAGAAGATGTTAAAAACAGAGGGAAAAAAAAGAATGATCAAAAGGATAAGCTTCTGTAGGAGATAGGAATGAGCAAGATCTAGAATACAAATTGGCTCATGTTAGCAAAGAGAGGGGCCACCTCATCTTCTGGAGCAAAGTAAAAACAAAGAGGAATGATGTTAAGGTCATTTCAAATGTGAAATTGTTGAGCAGAGAGCCAGGGATGAATGAAGTCTATTTTTAAAAGTATGATGAAAAATCCTTGATTGAGAGAATGACATGGAGGGAGATTGTAGGTAGCTTGAGGAAAGAAGAAAAGGTTTGAAACAATTGCCATGGGGAGTCAATAGAGAACCAATAAGAGAAGAGTAAAATTGATTATGCAACTATAAAGGTTCAGTTGAGATTAGGTAAAATAAACTTGAAGAGACCCATTTGCATGGTTATGTGACTTCTTCTAGCAGCATTCTGCAGAGAGCAGATGAAGAGGAGGTTGATAGTGATGCATATTGAGATTGCTGGAAACCCCCAAATGTCCAGGTATAGGGTAGAATCTGCCTGGAATGAATTCATACATCAAACCTTCTTCCAATCAAATGATAAGGTTTATTGTAATGCCAACAGAAGCAGGCAAGGCTCCTAGTGAATCTGCAATTTAATTGGGGAGGGGGTGGGGATGATGCTTATATACAAAAAGTACAGTGAAAGGATCTGGATGGGAATTTAGGAGTGTTAAGTAGCCTGGGGTGGGCCAGGTGCAACAGTGAAAGGAATATCAAGTAGGCTAATTAGGGGATCTAGATGAGATTAAGGAGAGGTAGGTATACCCAAGCAGTCTGGTGTGGGCCCAGAGCTACAATGAAAGGAAAATCAAGTAAGCTGAGTGGGCCGGTTGCCTTGGGCGAAGGTGCTAGTGATTCTGAGATGCTGAAATGTATGGGAAAATTCAGAGACTGGGTTGCTCTCAAAGACATGGTCTTTTCCTTTTGGGGACCCAGGTCCTATCATCCCATCAATGGGAGTAACCCATTGTTTGGCTTCAGCAAATGATAAACAGAGATAGGACAATGGGGCAAAGGATTCAATAATAATAAAAATAACAGCAACAAAAATAATTTAGGGCATTAAGTTTTGTACTTTACAAATAATCCCATTTGATCCTCACAACAACTCTGAGGTGGATGTTATTATTATAATACACATTTTACAGATGTGGAAAGTAAATCTGAGAGAGGTTAAGTGACTTGCTATCCATGGTCATATAGCTAGTAAGTTTCTGAGGCAAGAATTGAATTCCACATCCAATGCTAAGTTGCCTCCCAGGTGTAAATTTGAACTGGTTAACTGGATCAAGTTACAAGAACTGGTTAAAAGGATCAAGATTCAACAGTGGAAAATGAGGTCAGGGAAGGCTTGGCTGAAGACCCAAAAAGCAGAGACATGATTTTAGTTTGGACTTAAAGGAAGTGTGGGAAGCCAAGAAAGAAGATGAGAGAAAACATTCTGGGCTGGGAGTGGGGGTGAGGGCTGGAGAGGGAACAGCTCAAGAAAATATCTGGAAAATTGAGAGTTAGGGGCAGCTAGGTGGTGTAGTAGGTAGAGCTCTGGCCTTGGAGTCAGGAGGACCTGAGTTCAAATCTGGTCTCAGACACATGACACTTACTATCTGTGTGACCCTGGGCAAGTCACTTAACCCTGATTGCTTAGCCAGAAGATTTTAAAAAAAGAAAATGAGAGGCAATGTTTTGTTCATGGAAATTTATGGGGGGCAGGTGGAGCAGGGGAAGAAGTGGTGGCCTAGGCTAGGTTTTGAAGGGCTTTGAAAGCCAAATAGATAATTCGGTATGTAGAGGTGATAGGGATCCATTTCCTGTGTGAGAAAGTTTGCTTCTTCTCAGAGCCCCAGAGAACATAGGAATGAGCTTAGAGAGGAGATAAAATAATTAAAAGAGAGAAAGAGTCTACAATCACTGGACAATAGAGCTGTAGGAAGCCCAGCCCTATTCCCTGGGTGCAAATTTAGGTGCAAATTTCACCTTTGAGATTTAAGCAGTTTTCAAGTTGTTTTTCAAGTTTTCAAATTCGGGGTTGAAAGCCATAGACCTGAGCCACTCAGGCAGGCCTCTGCTTTAAGACTTTGACTTTCCCAGAGCTGAGATTATGGTTTCAAAACAGTAAAATATGAAAGCTCAAATGGACCTTAAACCCCACTAGTCTAGGAGCTTCCAAGCCTTTTCTGGCCCTGTATTCCTTCACATTCAATAAAACTCTCCTTACACCTTAATTAAAAAGAAAGTAAATAAATTCCAGAGCTTAGCATTCATGTGCACATAAGAAATTAAATAGATGAATTAATTTCAGGAAGATAATAGAGCTGTTCACAAAATAGTTTGTTACAGAGTCAAGACTAGAATACATCACTCCTGATTCTCAGAACAATGCCTTTCCAACACACTAGTTGTCTCAAGAAGTATCTGATCAGGTTGATTTTGGTCAGGCTAGTGCGTCTCTCAAACAGAGGTCTCAAAATTTTTTGGGTCACAGATCCCTTCGACAATCAGATGAACCCTATGGGCCCCTTCTCAGAAGAATTATTGTTGCCTACATTCATAATTGAAGGAAATGCTCAATTTCCCCAGTGTTTGGCACAATACCTGTTACTTAGTAGGTGCTTAATAAATGTTTATTGATTGATTGATTTGAGAAGTTAATGCAAATAAAGATGTATTTTTCCAATTCAAGTTTACAGATGCCCTGAAATGCATCTCAGATTAAGAACACCTCAGATTAAGACTATTTCTAGTCTTCAGGAGACTTCTAGAATTCTATGACTTTTTGCTCAGTCAGTAAATCTGTATTAAATGAATAAATGGATGAGTGAATGTGTAAGCACATCTCTATTTCAAGGATGGACTACACCTTACTTATTTAGCATGAAGCCCACATCCCCTGTTCTTCTGCTACCTGTAGGTGGTCATCTTCTATAATGTAGGTGTGGAATAGGATTCAGTCCTGGGCTTGGATTCTTTCTCCACTAATGAAAGTGCAGTTTCACTAGTTGTAGAGGTAGAAGCACTATTTCAGGGGAACTGGAAAAGTGGATGCAGCAATGTAGGCTTTTTCTAGACATTCAGCAGTGAAACAAACAGGGAAAAATAGAACATTAACTAAAGGAAACGTGGGGCAATATACCATTACTCTGCTTAACTCAAAATTCTGTTGTTGTCCAGTCATATCTGATTCTTCATGATTTAATATTTTCTTAGCAAAGATACTGGAGTGGTTTGCCATTTCCTTCTCCAGGTCATATTATAAATGAGGAAACCTAGGCAAAAATGCATGATTAAGTGACTTGACTGAGCTCACACAGATAGTAAGTGTCTAAGGCCAGATTTGAATTCATGGAGTCTTCCTGACTCCAGACCTGGCACTCTATCTGTTGTGCCACCTAGCTAGCAGCCCCAAACTCAAAATTTAGCTAATATTATATTATTTTTTCTACCATTTAAATTAAAACAAAATAAGAAATAGAGGAAACATCAAAAAAAATTTTTTTTCAACAGTCAAGGTCCCTAAAGATGATTTTACAACTGGAAAGGAAATGTGATAGCACCCTACCTTCTTCCTTGATTCTCTTCCTCTCTACACTAATCTGATTTAATTTCAGGATAAAGTTTTACTTACTGTTTTCTGAATTTTGAAAAGCAAAATAGCTCACAGTTTTCATGTAGGTAGCTTTCCAAAAGAAATCAAAAGAAACTATAAGTTACACACTTGGAATCAGGGATACTTATTTATAAGAATAGTCAGCTCAATGACTTTAAAACTAGAAATTACTTCTAACTGGCATTTTTAAAACTCTACATTTCTACTGAATTTCTTACTACATAATATTCTCTTTGTCTAACCAGCTCAAATATAACCCCTCTCCTTAGGTGAAGTCCTTGAGACTTTGGACAATGAAGGTCTGACCAAAAGTACGCTGGTTTATTTTACTTCTGACAATGGTGGGTCTTTAGAGTCCCAAATAGGAAGTGAACAGCATGGTGGCTGGAATGGAATATATAAAGGTGAGCCTTCTCATATTAATTCATTCTCACACATTTGTTTCTGTGAGAGAGCAATCCCTGCTCAGCTTTCCACAGCTCCCTCACTTGAATGGGGAAAACTTGTTTGGAGAGACTCTAGGAAATGGATCTGTTTAATTGTTCAAGGGATCCTGATGTTGTACTCTCTGATTTGTTCTACATTTAGACAGTGGAAGTAAAGAGGAAACTCATCAATTTCACTAGAGTGTTTTACGTATATTGAACAGATGAAAGATGTAGAACTTAATAAAGAAGTCACTACATCAGAACAAAAGCTTAAAAATTCTAGACTTTGATATATTATTTCAAAAATGATGATCTCCCCAGTCACAGAGGTCAAAGGGGTATTCCCAAAGAGGTAGACAAATGATGACAAAGATAGAGAAATTATGAGTTTCTGCTGCTTTCCAGCACTAACTTCAAGTGTACCCTAAAATAATAGAATGCTCATTATGTATGAAAAAATTCAGGGAGAGATACATGCACAAATGTACTAAGAAGACAGAGAAGAACCAATTGCAGCAAAAGTGAAAGAAAAATGAAGGAAGAGAAGGTAAATAAAATACAGAGAAATGTTTGGATTATGTGAAAAATTAATATAGAACTACAAAGAAGGAATTTATTAAGTACCTAGTATATGGCAGGCACTGTGTTAAGTACTGAAGATACAAAGAAGAGGTGGAGGAGTACATGCTCTTAAGGAGTTCACATACTATGGGTGAGACAACATGCAAACAACTATATTGAACAATTCAGAGACAATCACAGAGGGAAGGCACTAATATTAAGGGAGAGCAGTAAAAAGCTTTTTGCACAATTTGAGATTTTAGTTGGGACTTGAAGGAAACCAGGGAACCAAGAGACAGAGAAGAGGAGGAAGAAAACTCCAGGCACCGGAAATAGTCAGTTTAAGTTTACAGAGTAGAGAGATGGAGTATCTTGTTCTAAGAATAGCAAGGAGGTCAGAGTCACTGGATCACAGACTACTTGCAGGAGAATAAGGTGTTGGAAGACTGGAAAGGTAGGGAGCGACCAGGTTATGAAGGGCTTCAAAAACCAAACAGAAGATTTTGTATTTGATCCTGGCGGCAATATGTTAAAAAATGATTAGAGTTAAAACTTCACAGATCACTATTCTGTAATTTAACTGAGCACATTTGTCAGGGATACAAGCACAAGCATGTAAAGGTATCAATAAGCTAATAAGAGTGGAAGATTAATGGAGAATCATCTTGGTACTTAGAAAAGTATTTTTAAATGTTAAAAGGCATGAGAACCAACAATGGAAACTGAAATTCCCATTTGTCTAAAATGCTTGGTTCAAATGAGTTCTCCCCCAAAAAGATATTTTTAATGCCTCCTCCTCAGATGAAACCAAATATTGTGGTAAAGTTTCTCTTAAAACAAAAGATATCTTACTCATAAACATTGTCACTTTTCTATTTTTTTTAATCATGAATTTTGTCTTATTAAATTAAATTCAGGAGGCAAAGGCATGGGAGGCTGGGATGGTGGCATTCGGGTCCCAGGGATATTGCGGTGGCCTGGAGTCTTACCAGCAGGTCTTGTGATTGATGAACCTACAAGCCTGATGGATATCTACCCAACAGTGACACATTTGGGAGGGGGTGAAGTGCCCCAAGATAGGTAAAGAAATCTTTATGTATAATTCATTCCATATCATTTGCAAAAGGAACATCAGTGCTTGTTGTCTTAATTTTAGCTTGTGAAAAAATTGCATTCATGTGAATAATATCAACATTGAAAGGGTGTGAGATACAGTACCCACTATATTAATCTTTAAGAGAAAGGTGAAGAGCTATGATTGCATAATTTGTATATTTACCTGAATTTATGAGAGATTTCTAGAGTTAAATGAGTCTAATTAAGACACAAGCATTCATAAAATTTAAGGCTAAATGACCTATTCTGCAATATAATCATTGTTTTAGACAGCAAGATGCATAGTAGATAGAGTCCTTGCCCTAGAATCAGGGAGAATTGAGTTCAAATGAGATGTTCACTAGCTATGTAACCCTGGGCAAATCACTTAACCTCTGTTTCCTCATCTGTAAAATGGGGATAATAATAACACCTAACTCCCAGGGCTGTATTAGATAATACTTGTAAAGTACTTTGCCAACTTTAAAGCCCTGCATAAATTCTATCTATTATTGCTAATGAAAGGGGACCTTAGCAGTCAACAGCTTGTCATTACAGATAAGGAAACTAGAGTGTAGAGGAGTGCTTCGACTAAAGCAATTCCACTCAATAAACATGCATTAACTGCCCGCCATCTTCAAGATCCCATGCTAGTTCCTGGGAATACAAAAACAGATAAAGGCCCTGCTTTCAAGGAACACACATTCATGTGTATACACACACACACACACACACACACACACACACACACACACACACATACACGAGGAAAATATCTTATCCAATGATTTTCAGTCATTGGAAAGCAAGAATCATTCAGAAACATGTTGTGAATAAAATAATTTAGGCCATTTTGGGAGGTTTTGTTGTTTTTTCTATTCCCTCTGCAACATATTTTAGTCAAAAGTGGTGCTGGAGGTAAATTATGTAAATCACTTCCTTAAATGCTTGTATTACTCTGCCTTAGTTTCTAGCTAAATATAAGTGACCTTTGATATTTTATTTACTCCTTTCCTCATGAGTAGAGACTAAGCTTTAGAACTGGAAAGGACGTAAGATACTATCAAGTCCAGTCACTCATTTTACAGAGGAGGAGACAGAAACAAGAGGCTAAATAACTTGGCCAGGGCCACACAGCTAGTAAGTGTCTGAAGGTCGATTTTAACCCAGGATCTCCTAACTAAAAGCCCAGCACTCTACCTACTATGCCATGCTGCTGCATTGGATGAAATGTTTGAACATATTGCCCTGCTCAGTCCTAGTGTTGTTATTTCTGTTCCCTCAGAGTGATTGACGGCCGAGACCTGATGCCTCTACTTCAGGGAGAAGTTCATCAATCACATCATGAGTTCATGTTTCATTATTGTGAAGCATATTTGCATGCAGTTCGGTGGCATGAAAATGACAGTAAGTAGATGTTCTCTGTTCAAAGCTCTAAAAATTCAGTAGAAGTAGTAACAGCTTTAGAAAATATTCAAAATTTTGCAAAAATAATTGTTTATTTGAAAAACTGGAGAACTGATATTTCTTCTATTCCAGTTAATTCATTGGACATATAATTTCATGGATTTAGGGAACTATTAGGTGAGAAAAACCCTTCTACCTATTTAGGTTAGCATTTTCTCTTTAATTTATAGTCTAAGACAGGGGTGGGGAATCTGTGGCCTCAAAGCCACATGTGGCCCTCTAAGTCCCCAAGTGCAGCCCTTTAACTGAATACAAACTTCACAGAACAAATCCCCTTAATAAAAGGATTTGTTCTGTAAAACTTGGACTCAGTCAAAAGGCCACAACCAAGGACCAAAAGGCCCCATGTGGCCTCAAGGCCGCAGGTTTCCCACCCCTGGTCTAAGAGACCGACCTAGAGCACTGAGAAGTCAAATGAATTGCCCAAGGTAATGTAGTAAGGATGTAACAGAGGTGTGATTTGAATCCAGATCTTCCTTGATTTAGGTCAGCTAGGTGGTACAGTGCATAGAGTGCCTGGCCTGGAGTCATTAAGATTGATCTTCCTGAGTTCAAATCTGGCCTCAGACACTTACTAGTTGTGCAAGTCACTTAACCTTCACGTTTCCCCATCTATAAAATGAACTAAAGAAGGAAATAATAAACCATTCTAGTATCTCTGCCAATAGAACCCCAAAAGGGGTCATAAAGAGTCAGACATGAACAACAACAAACTTCCTGGATTTATGAATGACTCTCTCTCAACTCCACCATGCTTCCCCTTCTTAAGTATTGAAATTTGAATGAAAATCTTGAAGTGGTTCCAGTAATGTCAACAAGTTAGGTGAGAATAAATTATAGAATCAGTAATGCTCGCTGAGTTGCACCTTCAAACTCTGCATTCTTCTTCTTCTTTCAGGTGGTACAGTGTGGAAAGTACATTATGTGACCCCAGTATTCCACCCAGAGGGTTCAGGTGCCTGCTACGGAAGAGGAGTTTGCCCATGTTTTGGAAAGGGTGTAACTCAACATGACCCACCTTTACTGTTTGATCTCTCAAGGGATCCTTCTGAAGCTAACCCCCTTTCACCTGATACTGAGCCCCTATTTGGTTCAATAATTGAAAGAGTAGAACATGCTGTAAAAGAACATTGGGCTACACTAACTCCAGTTCCACAGCAGCTCAGCACTTTTAATAACATCTGGAAACCATGGCTTCAGCCATGTTGTGGCACATTCCCATTATGTTGGTGTGATTGGGAAGATGACCACAAATAAGAGAATGTTGGGATTGTATAGGTGATGAAAGTTCCGTATCTTCACTTAATGTTCATATGGTGAACCATTGTAAAATTGTCAATGTAGCATGTGTTATTCAAAATAAAATGTAGTGGGTTAATAGGTCCACTAACTAAATTCTTAGTACTATAAAACTCGCAATATCACAAAGCACTAAATCCCTTAGGATTTATGAATAACGTATAAGCAAACAAACAAATGAAAATAAACAACTTATCTTTGAAGGCTAGACCAGGATCAATATAAGTCTCAAGGAGAGAGTCCAAGATGTGGGGCTCTATGAATCTCGCCTGACCCTAGTCTTTAGACTATTGAGTTTCTCAATGTATTCCCAAAAAAGGTCAGTGTTTATAATAGTCCACATTCTCTGTTGATTAACCCCAATTTATCTTGTGTTTATCTTATTTGTACATAATTGTTTTCCTGTTATTTCCTGTGAGCAACTTGAGAGCAAGGCCAGGCTCTTTTTTTTTTTTTTGTATCCTCAGAGCTTAGCAAAGTGCCTGGCACATAGTTTTCATTTAATAAATTCTTGCTGACTGACTGTGTCCTAAAACATAGTGTAATGTAAAATTAAGCCCTCATGGCAATTGCCAAATAAAACCAACCAGCTAAAGGAACTTCAGGGTTGTAGACGACTGGTTACAACCTAAAATGTTCTCCATAATTTCTGTAACTTCCACTTTACAATACACATGGATGGGCAAAATAAAATCTCCTAAATCCTTCCAAAACCCTATCTTAAAAGTGTTAAAGTAGGAATAAATTAAAGTGTGACATTTATTAATTGCTAATACTTCTCTATAAACCACTCCATAGAGTACATCCAATCCTGGGTTTCAAAGGCTATGCCTGGGGTATACAACCTGTTAGGTCCTGCAGAGCTGGGAAGGTTTTGCTTACAGGCCCAGTGGTGAATTAAATGTCTGTTGGTTTGAGGAAGAAATGAGTACAGGTTTGAACATGTAGAGTTTGAGGTACTGGTGATAATACACAGATATTCAGAAGGCAGTAGAAAATTCAGGTCTAAACTCTTTAATAGAAGTTGGAAATAGAATACACTTGGGGGGGGCAGAAATGAAGAGGTAGAAATCACGAGAATAGAGTATAGAAAGAAAGCTAAGAGAATGCAGAGAAAATAAAGGGAAAGAGATGAATTTGAAAGCTTAAAACATAACTTCAGCTAGGGAGGAAGTGGTAGGCTCTGGTTAGATGACTCTTATTTAAACCCCATTTCCCTCACTTCCTATGTGATCTTAAGCAAGTCAATTAACTTTATCCTAGGTTTCCTTATTTTTAGAATGAGGGGTTAGACTAGATGGCTTCTGAGGATATTTCCAGTTCTAAAGCTTTGAGGAGGGAGGATGATGAGCCAAGAAAGGACCCTGAAAAAAAGGAAGAAAACCATGAGGTTTCTCTTAGTTGAACTAGACCACTTGCTAATTTTATAAATGAGGAATTCAAATCCAAGGATCAAGATCATAGACTAGTTAGTAGCTCAGCCAGGACTAGAACGGAAGGTTATAGCTCCCTGAATCCTACTCTACTAGCAGCTAGGTAGCTCAGTTGTAAAGCGCTGGGCCTGAAGTTAAGATCTGAATTCAAATTTGGCCTCAGAAACTTATTAGCTATGTGTCACTGAGGTAGGTGCAAAATGATATCTCAAGGTTTTTTCATTTGTATTTCTCTAATCAATAATTTTTAGAGCATTTTTTCATATGACTACAAATTTTATTTCTTCAATGGAAAACTGCCTGTTCATAACCTTTGAACATTTATCAATTGGGGAATGACTCATATTCTTATAGATTTGACAAAGTTCTTTATATATTTGAGATATGACACCTTTATCTGAGAAACTGTCTATAAATTTTACCCCCAATTTTCTGCTTTCCTCCTGATCTTGGCTAAATTTGTTTTATCTGTATAAACACTTTTTAATTTGATGTAATCAAAATTTTTTATTTTATGCTTAACTTTGCTCTTTATCTCTTGCTTATTCATAAATTGTTTGCCTATCCATAAGTCTGATAAGTAATGTGTTCCATGTAGACTGTGTCATTGTAAGAAAAAGAGACAGGATGTGAGAGTGACAAAGGTGATATGTAGTGCAGAGTGCCACACCAATCATGGATATCTTCAAGCTAAACATTATCATTCAACAAAAGAGGTGGCCCCAATTCAAGACAACAACCAGAAGACTTAATGTCAACAGATTAGAGCACTTGTCCAAGCTTGAAAAGGTCCTTGCTAACTTGGAGGGAAAGCTGAGCTAACACACAGTTGGCAACAGTGGAGCAGAAAAGGAGTGCGCAGCTTTCAGAAATTTGGCATACAGCACTGCATTTACTCATCTGGCCAGAACGCTTGCAAACACCAAGATTGGTTTGATGAAAATGTTGGGAAAATTCAGAAACTGCTAAGCAAAAAATGGGAAACCCTGAGGGTTTGCCAGAAGGATCCATCTGTCTTTTAAAAAGCTGCATTTAACTTCATCAAAAGTAAAGTGCAAGTGGAGCTTAGAGAGATGCAGGATTCTTGGCTCAGGAAGCAGGCAAATGAAATTCAGTTTTATGCTCTGGTAACAATACAAAACACTTTTATGATGCCCTGAAAGCTATTTATGAGCCAAAGACCTATGGTGCATCTCAACTACTCAGCACTGATGAAGCCACATTGATTAATAATAAGGACATGATCTTGCAAAGATGGCTTAAACACTTTCATAGTGTTCTCAACAGACTGTCATTAATAAATGCTGAAGCCACTGACTATACCACAAGTTGAAGCCAATCTCTCTATAGCTGAATTTCCAACTGAAGAAGAGGTTTTGAATGCCGTTAGGTTCTTCTTATGTGGCAAAGCATCTGGTGCTGATGCTATTCTACCTGAAATTTACAAGGCAAAAGGTTCACTGCTCATACAAAAGGCTAACAGAAATTTTCTCCATTATATGGCAAGAGAAGGTTATTCCCCAGGAGTTCAAGGATGACTTCATTGTCCATCTCTATAAAGAAAATGAAAATAGTCCTATGACAATCACAGGGAAGTCTCTCTCTCTCTGTCTCTCTCTCAGTCACTGCTGGCAAGATTCTTGCCAGAGTCCTCCTCAATAGACTCATCTTTCTCCTGGAAGATGGTCTTCTACCTAAGAGGCAATGTGGCTTCAGAAAGGGCCAAGGAATGGTCAGTATAGTATTTGCTGCTTGATAACTTCAGAAGAAATGCCAGGAGCAGAACAGAGGTCTGCATATAATGTTTGTTGATCTAATGAATGCCTTTAATATTGTCGGTTGCGAGGGCTTGTGGAAAATTATGGCAAAATTTGGTTACCTGGAGTTCATCAGTATTGTACATCAGTTTCATGAAGGCATGCTTCCCCAGATTCTGGATAATGGACAATGCTCTTGCACTTGCCCAATTTCCAGTGGAGTGAAGCAGGACTGTGTGCTTGCTCCTCTGCCTTTTTTTTTTTTTTTTGCTAGGCAATTGGGGTTAAGTGACTTGCCCAGAGTCACACAGTTAGTGTCAAGTGTCTGGACTGAGACCGAATTTGAACTCAGGTCTTCCTGACTCCAGGGCTGGTGCTCTATCCACTGCACCACCCAGCTGTGCCGCTCTTATGCTTTTTAGCATGATGTTTTCAGCAATATTGTCAGACTTATTCAATGAGAATGAAAATGGCATCAAGGTCAGCTACTGCACTGATAGTAAATTATTTAACTTGAAAAGCCTATAAACCCAAGATGGAAGTGAAAGTAGAGTTTTTTGCTGATGATTGTGCACTCAATGCAGCCTTTGAGGCTGAGATGCAACAAAGCATAGATTGATTCTCCGTTGTTTCTGCTAATGTTGCCCTAACAATTAATAATACCAAGAAAACAGAGGTTCTCCTAAAGCCAGCACCATACCTTTCACACATGGAACCATTGGTTATAGCAAGTGGAGAAATTTTGAACACTGTGGATAAGTTCATTTACCATGGCAATATATATTTTGCAGGGATGTCCACATAGATAATGAGGTTGATGCACACATTGCCAGAGTTAGCTCAGTATTTGGGAGGCTCTGAAGGAAAGTCTGGGAGAGAAGAGGTATTAGGCTGCCTACCAAACTGAAGGTCCACTGAGCTGTTTTGCTGACCTCATTGTTGTATGCCTGTGAAACGTGGACAGTATACCAGCACCATGCCAGGAAACTGAATTGCTTCCATTTGAATTGTCTTAAGAAGATTTTGAAGATCACTTGGAAGGATAACCATTCAAACTCTGCTGCAGAGAATGTAACGTTGATGGGCTGGCCATATTATTTGAATGGCAAATGTACATTTACCTAAAAGATTATTTTATGGAAACTCACACAAAGCAACCCACTCCCATGGAGATTAAAAGAAGCAATATAAGGACACTTTCAAAGTCTCTCTGAAGAACATTGGAATCAGTTGTGAGTCCTGGGAGACACTGGCACAGTATCATCCATCACAGTGTGCCCACATCAAAGAAGGTGCTATGCGTATGAGCAAAGAACAATTGCAATAGCTCAAAAGAAATGTGAGATGTGTAAATTTAGAAACATCTCCTCTCCAAATGTTTATATGGACTATTTGTGTCCTACTTGTGGTGAAGCCTTCTGAATTTGTATTGGCCTGATCAGCCTTAGTCAGACACACTGACTATGGTCATTTTGGTTCTTTTTAAGAGCAAAGGACAACCAAGAAAGGAAAAAAAAAACGTAGTCTCTGGCCTCAAGAAGCCTACATTTTAATACAGGAAAATGACATATAAAGGGGAAATGTTGAAGGCAATGGAGGATGTCAAAGCTTCCATTCAGAAGAAGTTAACACTTAATATAATGATGATGACAATGATAACTAACATTTATTAGTGCTAACTATATGCCAGGCATTTTGCCAAACATTTTATAATTATTATTTAATTTAATCCTAACAACAATCTCAGGAGGTAAGTGCTATTATCATCCCCATTTTATAGATGAAGAATGTGAGGCAAACAGAAGGTAAGTGACTCACCCAGGATCACAAAGCTGGTAGGTTTGTGAGGCTATATTTGAACTCAGGTCTTCCAGACTCTAGGCCCAGCACTGTATCCCCTGCACCAAATTATGTGCTAAAATATCTCAGAATAAATTGAGATGTGTTGTAAACTTCAGGAGACAAGATTTTTGTTCTATGTTTTATCTCCTATTCATTCTGCTATAAAATAGTATGCATGCTCTCTGTGTTATTGAAGAAATACATCATTTTGAATAGACATTTCCAATGTTGGCATGGATGAAATATCTCCTTTGAAATCTAATTCCGATTTCCAGTGTTGCCTCAAGCCAATCACTTAACATTTCAGCATTTAGGCCTTTTCAGCTGCGAAAATGCCAGACATAAAAAAAGATGTATTGAAAATTAACCGTTGTGCACAAAACCCTTTAGTTCCACATGAAAGATGTTGTGTTGATACTAAGCGGTGTTATTTATTAAACCTGGAATAACTACTTGAGTTCTGAGTATAGTTAGCTTTCTTAGAGCTTCAGATAAAGCCTAAAACTTTAAGATGGGGAAACAGTCCCACAAGAGAGCAAACTGGGCTCTCAAATGAGTACTTCTTTTTCAAGGCTCAAGGAAGGAAGGGTTATATTTTTTTTTCTTCTTACTTCCCTTTCAGGCTTCTGCTCTCTCTCTCTCTCTCTCTCTCTCACACACACACACACACACACACACACACACACACACACACACACACCCTTTTTTTTTTAAAGGCCCAGTAAGAATTTTCC